TGTTTATGCCCCACCTCATAAATTATTAGTTTATGTGTTTAAGATCGTAAGCTAGTAACTCTGTTTTGTTAACAAAACTGGTAAATATGGATAAAGGCACGTTACGCATATTAATAATAATGAGGGCCTAACATAAATGCCCGTTTTAAGGAACTTTCGCCTACAAGGCGCATACGCATTTGTTATTTTTATTTTAAAAATTCCAGTTAGATTCCTACCGCTTAATTACTAATTAACAAGTATATGTAAAGTAGATCACTTCAGCAACAATATTATTTTCGTTCTCGTTTCGTTTTTCTGCTAGCGACTTTTGTAAAAAATACAGGGTGTTACACGACCGTTCGAAAAAAAAAATCGGGTTGTAGAGGGCATCAAAACAAGCACTTTTTCCAAATAAACCGAGGGTCCAACGTATTTCGTTTGGGAGCCACCCCCCAAAGAGTGTTGAAATCTGCATTTCTTCTTTAATTTTTTTCTCAGCAACCATAAGAGTTACAAAGTCGGGTGGCATGTCTTTGAATAGGTTTTTGGGTATGCTCTTTCCGATTTTGCAATTTTTTTTTCAAAATTCCTACCCCTAAAGGGCGCACCCCTAAAGGGCGCACCCCTAAACTAGGGTGCAAAAAAAAATTCTGATTTCGACGAAATTTGGTATCTGGGGTTTTTTAAACATGAAAATCACGAATCTGAAATTAGTTTTTGAAAATTCGAAAAAAAAAGTTCCACTGCAATTCTTGGCGGGACAACGAAAATAGAGATAATTCCACGAAATTTGTTGTGTACATACTAAACGAGTTAAGGAACAAAACTGTCGAACAGTTTTTTAAAATAACTTTTCAAACAAAAGTTATACTCATTTGAATGTTGGTCCTTCGGGTCGCGAAGTGTCCCAAGCCTACTAGTAAGCCATAATTTCGCATGTGTTGGTTGACAATGTTGCAAAAACAAAAGATTAACGGTTTGAGTCGATATTTTGTTATTTGGAATTAATTCGGTCATTAAATGATTAAAAAATTCGATGTATCGATTAAAACACCTACCAAGGTATCTTAAAGCGATTTGTCCTTAAAAGGAGCGTGTTCTTTTGGAAGTTATTTTTCAACCTAAGATTATGAAAATTTTTGATCATAGTGAAAAAGTATCATACGGAAAGTGATTTGACTTTTTCCCCTACCTTATTTAGATAATAAATAAATCGATCAGCGCTTTAAAATACCTTGGTAGGTGTTTTAATCGATACATCGAATTTTTTAATCATTTAATGACCGAATTAATTCCAAATAACAAAATATCGACTCAAACCGTTAATCTTTTGTTTTTGCGACATTGTCAACCAACACATGCGCAATTATGGCTTACTAGTAGACTTGGGACACTTCGCGACCCGAAGGACCAACATTCAAATGAGTATAACTTTTGTTTGAAAAGTTATTTTAAAAAACTGTTCGACAATTTTGTTCCTTAACTCGTTTAGTATGTACACAACAAATTTCGTGGAATTATCTCTATTTTCGTTGTCCCGCCAAGAATTTCAGTGGAACTTTTTTTTCGAATTTTCAAAAACTAATTTCAGATTCGTGATTTTCATGTTAAAAAACCCCCAGATACCAAATTTCGTCGAAATCAGAATTTTTTTTGCACCCTAGTTTAGGGGTGCACCCTTTAGTGGTAGGAATTTTGAAAAAAAATTGCAAAATCGGAAAGAGCATACCCAAAAACCTATTCAAAGACATGCCACCCGACTTTGTAACTCTTATGGTTGCTGAGAAAAAAATTAAAGAAGAAATGCAGATTTCAACACTCTTTGGGGGGTGGCTCCCAAACGAAATACGTTGGACCCTCGGTTTATTTGGAAAAAGTGCTTGTTTTGATGCCCTCTACAACCCGATTTTTTTTTTCGAACGGTCGTGTAACACCCTGTATATATATATATATATATATAAGTTTTTCAATAACGTCACCAGTTTTATTGTAAGCTACATTTTACTGAGACGCTTACCTTGGAATAAAATTAGATGTCGACGCCAAGAAGTGAGCTCAATTCTCGCATCCAAAACCTGCAGATAATCAAAGAAAACCTCCCAAGCCGCAGGGCGCGGTACACAGTTAATTGACTAATGCCTGAAGGGCCTTGCTCTACTCGTAATCTGCTTCTATACCAGTACGGTACTTAATTTGCTTCAGAAGGAAGTGATGGACTCCAACAACATTCACATTTCAAACTCGATCAAAATTTAACCGAGATGGCAAAGATATTAAATAGGTACTAATGTTAACAAATTACTTGAATGTGATAGCAGAAGGGACAAAATACTTATTATCTAATACGCTTATCTCTTTGAGAACAAATTTCAGAAAATGACCGCTCGTTATCAGCAAATGGAAGATATGTCAAAGATGTTGGCACTCGCAGGCAACGGTGAATTTAACCCAAGGTTATACACTCGTACGTCAATAGAACTTAAGCTGGCCCTTACAGAGTTGAATAAAATTTGAATTTGAACTAACATTAAAACTAAAAATTGAATCCCTAAAAGAAATCAAAGGTAATCCATCTCTTTGATACCCTAAAATGTACATACCTCTTAAATAATAATAGATGAAGCAACAATTGTCGATGGAAAATTGTCGTATAATAGATGACAATCGAACCTAAAGAAAAGGTACACCTCAATTACGGAAAATGCAAATGGCTGTACTTATGATAACCTAGAAAAAAAACGCAATTATATCCTCCCTGTTGGAGTTTTTAAGTGAATCCATTAACTAATTATTCTAGAATCCCCGGTTGAATGAATCCAATTGCTAGAGATTAATAAAATATGGATGATGGCAATTAAAATTCCATGCGTTCGCAACTAAGGCCTCAGCTGCTGGTTTAATCGAGTGTCACCTGATACTGTTTTCGACAGAAAGAGTGTGAAAGTCGATACACACTGCACAATAAAATTCAGCGATTCAAATTCCAACAATAGATGGAGCCATCTACTCAAGAGTTACGAGGCTCTTTTAAGTAAATAAACCGCTTACAAGGGTATTCAGTAAATTTAATAACTGAAAAATCGAAAATTACAGTTATTTTGTATAAAACTTCGTTATCAATGCTTTTATCTTAAGCCCCATCTGCTACTTTATCGTGGCTACGGACCTGGTTGATGTACATTGCCCTGCTTCTGAAAAAGTACCTATGCGAGTTAATTATCGTATTCGATAGTGAATCGTACAGAGATCATAGTTGATTATGACTGCATTTGTGTTTTCTTTATCGAAACAATTATTTTGTGTTGGGAGCCTTTTGTGTATGCTGCTGTCCTGTTGCCATGTAAGTTTTATCCGATATTGCAACCAAGTACGGAAGATTATATACGAATCGGCCGCTGTAGAAGATGTCAGGCTTTTAATAATCCTAAGGTAGATAGCCGTTTGTGCGGCGGGTTTTAGTTAAAGCAGCGCCAACTCAATCTGACTGTATATCATCTTATTTACCTATTATTATTGAGTTCAATTTATTAAAAGTACAGTTTCCTGACACTGTCAGCGAGTGCTTTTTTGTCTTTGATAAAGGCGCCCGAATATCGCAAACCTTTCACGGTCACGTTATTTGAATTCTTCGAAATTTTAATTTTTTTATCGATGGCGTGCGTGCGGGGTATTATGACAAAACAAGCTGTAAGCCTTTATTTCTTTCCGGCATTTTGTTTCAGTGGTATCAGAATAAATTTTTGTCAATCAAATTAATTGTGTGTTTATTCGAATCCTTTGTGCTACCTAGATAGAGTTTTCATGTCAGATTTTCTTTGATTGGTGCAAAAGATTTATTTCAAGTGTTGATCAAAGTTTGTGTCTCTCGAAATGAGAAATTTTAAGTCAATATTTGATAGTTGTATGTTAGGCATACATATAGTGTTTTAGACACATTATAATCCCAATATCCAGGTCCTGTTCCTGTCTCTACAAAATAATTTTGAATTAACCGAAATAAGTTCTAAACTACGCCTCAATCGTTTGGTGGTTTCCACGGAGTAGTCCGAAGATGTACCATCGGGTAGAGTAACAGTCTAATCCATTCCATTATGACACGACTGGCACGAATCTGTTTTCAGGGCCGGGATTAAAACAAACAGTTTTAGTTTTATTCATTTTTATGGAGAATTTGATTGCGCAGGTAAGTTCTTGTGTTTCGTCTCTTATGCGTTCGCATTATATAAAAAAGAACTAGCGATTGCTTTTCGTATACAAGCAAATACCTAAAATCCCCCTCGTAAAAGTTGCCACCACTAACTGACATTTTCTTTCCTCGCCTACTTTTATAGGAATGTCTTATTGGATATTACGTGATTTTTAATACGTCCAGACACCGGTGCTCGTAAAACAACAAGAATGTCTGGTATTTAAGAGGTGCTCGCCACAAATCTCGAAGTAGGTAGGTACGTGCGGTACCTGCCATGAAAGACGTCGTCGTTAATAAAATGATATATTGTTAAAACATTCCGAGCGTAATTACAATCTTTGCAATTATTGGCACAACGCTCGATGAAAACCAGCGGAATGCAACATTGTTTCTCTATTACTTCATCAATGACGTCAAGCTTCACTTTTTTTGCATAAAAATGAACACAATCTTGTGCGAAACGTGTTTAAAAATACGCAGGTAACGTACCTACCGTAAATAGAAGGTAACGTAAGACGATAAGTCAAGGTTCTGCACTCTTTTATCTCCCCTGATCATAAATACTTAGGTATCAAAATAGGAACTAAAAATAATCAAGTTAGAAAGTTTCCGAAGTTGTCGTTGTGTTTTGCCGAGCACATGCAGTGTGAATGTTATTTTTGTTGCACTCACAACAACCACAACCACTGCCTTGTCTAGTAAAGTATTCTTATCCTTCTAGGTATTCTATTAATACGATCCACCTTATGATGATAATTTCAAATTTGTTACCAAAACTAGGACGCTTGGGTCTACTCGCGCGGCGTAAACTTAGAAAAATTCAATTTACCTTAATTTGGGAAACACTCCAACAGGCGAGCACCGCACACGTACCAATTTAAGCCACTTAATCCTAATTTATACAACAAACGCACCACTTCCAAAATGATAGAATTTTGTAACTGAACTAAATTTTAGATCGAGATGGATATTTTAATGAGATTTGTGATTGGGATGAGTTTTTTCGAACGGAATTGTCATTTTCGTGATTGTTAGTCGTCCTCGAGTTTGACGGTTAAAGACGCGCCCGATGTGGGGTCGGGTTACAGTAGCCGGTGCGGCTGAAGTTTTCCGACTCCTGAAGCTTTGGCGCGTTTCCTTCCATTCCATTCAAACTCGCGAACAGGTTTTGTATTTATGGGCATCCAAAAGGCGCATTTGCTATAGGTGGCGACATCTGAAAGTTATGAGTACTAATCGCGTGAAGTATTCCTACCAGATGAGTCATTGATTTATTTTAATTACAACAGGAGTCTCCAATTTTCGTTGTATTCAAAGTGAGGGAAACTGAATGTATTTGAAGAAACTAAGAACTGAGTAACTTAAATTTTGATATCACTGAAGCAGGATTGTTACACAAGCACACAGTTAAAACGCTCTGTTTCCAAAAAAGTAATTTATACGACGTAAGATGTGTTGCCTGCGTGCAAGGTGTTCATTCAGAATTTTAACCTAAAGAGGAAAAAATAAAAGGTGGGAACCTTGAATTAAAAGGGGTCGAGACGGAAATGGACAAAAAGGAAGTTATAAGAGTGGGGAGAAACGCGTCATTATTGGCAGTGGTGCAATAAAACAAAACTGACATCGTCTCTTCTGTTTTATGATATTGATAAGTCAAGTTGACATAACTGACCAGTGCAAAGGAAGTAATACGATGACGACTTCCGTCGCGTGTTATGCTATTTCCCACCACCGTTATATTCTCTCCTCTTATTTTTACTCGTAGATTTTAACGGAGTTGTAGCAACGTTGAGATAAAAGGCCTAAACTCCGTACAATCTGCGCATGCGAAAGAAACGTCAAAGTTGCAATGTTATTAATTAAAATGTAGGTTAGGTTATTGTTTTCATCACAGGCTGTTATAATGAACAAATATATTCGTAAATCGTAATGTACATTTAAACTCACAGACTTTTGACGTTGTTATACCAAGAGCCATGTTTCGCTGCGGCAGTATAAAATCCGAAAAGGACAGTATAAGCCCCATGTTCACAAATCGTAACCCAAGACATTTCAAATACCTACGAATCGCTAATAAACCGGACGGCTACTACGGTGATAAAACTGGAACGCTCCTACTGGCATAAATATACAAATTTGCTTTCCTACCGCCTCCAATAAGACAGCCCGATTGTAGATGACAACCGACACAAACAGGCCGTCACTTAACTTTATTGTTTGTGCATTACATCAATGGACCCGACACTCACCGCTAGCACGAAGGAATGGCCCGTCAAAACCCGGCTGTATAAGACCATGCACCAAGTCGTTGGCGTACGTGAACGTCCCTGCATTCAATTTAATGTTTGCTACTTGTAGGTTTCAGTTCTTAGTACAAAGATGCCTTGCAAACGGTCCGACAGAGTTTATGTGCGATTGCAAACCCGAACACAACGTCAGTAAGGTCGCAAAGTTTCTAATGTGCTCCAAGATTTCAATTTGAAATTGCCAATTCACTATAACTAAGGTGCCCTTTTTATTATTCTGTAATTTATTATTATTTAATGTTTAAAATATTGGTAAGCAATAAAAAGTTTACATATTTATCAAATTTATTGTTCTTGAAACCCATTAACTTCTTCTTAAAAAATCAAATAAACGGTTTTTCATGCAATTTAGAAATTAGTAATAAGCACCTTCTTTGGAAGAACCTTTGAGTTAGAAACAGGGAAGCATCTCGACAGACTGAACGTAGGGCTTTCTATCACTTCATTGCAGCGACCCAATTCTCAGCCTTCTCTTTACAGAAACTATGGAAGCACAAGTACAAATAAAACTTTATTGTAAATTATGCAGCTATTTACCTAATAGGTCCACAATTTAAGATCGATTCACATTATCTGTCAAGTCAGATTATATCCCACGGGTTTGGTAATCTTTCTCTCGTCCACGGCTCTCTTGACTATTCCGGTTCAGACAATTTCAAATTGAAATCTTGGAGCACGTTAGAAACTTTGTGACCTTACTGCCGTTGTGTTCGGGTTTGCAATCGCACATAAACTCTGTCGGACCGCTTGCAAGGTATCTTTGTACGAAGAACTGAAACCTAAAAGTAGCACACATTAAATTGAATGCAGGGACGTGACCGTGTGACGTTCACGTACGCCAACGACTTGGTGCATGGTCTTATACAGCCTGGTTTTGATGGCCCATTCCTTCGTGCTAGCGGTGAGTGTCGGGTCCGTTGATGTAATGGACGAACAATGAAGTTACGTGACGGCCTGTTTGTGTCGGTTGTCATCTACAATCGGGCTGTCTTATTGGAGGCGGTAGGAAAGCAAATTTGTATATTTATGCCAGTAGGAGCGTTCCAGTTTTATCACCGTAGTAGCCGTCCGGTTTATTAGCGATTCGTAGGTATTTGAAATGTCTTGGGTTACGATTTGTGAACATGGGGCTTATACTGTCCTTTTCGAATTTTATACTGCCGCAGCGAAACATGGCTCTTGGTATAACAACGACAAAAGTCTATGAGTTTAAATGTACATTACGATTTACGAATATGTTTATTCATTATAACAGATACCAGCTTGTGATGAAAACAATAACCTAACCTACATTTTAATTAATAACATTGCAACTTTGACGTTTCTTTCGCATGCGCAGATTGTACGGAGTTTAGGCCTTTTATCTCAACGTGTTGTAGCCATATATATCTTCTCTTATATATATGGTTGTAGCCATATTTCTCTTATATATATGAGCCCATATATGTCTTTTATACATATATGTATGAGCCAAATAACATGTGTTTTTTGATATAAGCACTAGAGCGCGACATTGGCGCACAGCGCACGCGTTGATACGGTGTCTCTATATATGCCAACGGTACTGGTCGGCTATGCATCAATTTTATTATATATAATATTGATATATTTATAATGCATTTTGTGAAATACCTTATAAGGGGACAATTTTGAATTAATCTATGGGGTAAAATGGTAAATATTCAAATTGTAGTAGTGAGTCAGGACCCTTTCAGCGTACTATTTGTCCCAAATTCTAATTTAAAATCCTTAGAATCTGTATGTTTTAAAATATGTTGTTTGAAGTAGCGTTTATGATTTGTCCCATAATCACAAGTAGCACATTTAAAAACCTTAGAAGCTCCATGTTTTAAAAGATGTCGTTTGAAGTCGAGTTTAACGTTTGTTTCATAACCACAATTACCACATTTTAAATCCTTAGAAACTTTATGTTTTAAAAGGTGTCGTTTAAGATCGGATTTATAATTTGTCTCATAATCACAATTAGTACATTTAAAATCTTTAGAAACCTTATGTTTTAAAAGGTGTATTTTAAGGGCGGATTTAAAATTTGTCCCATAATCACAATCAGCACATTTAAAATACTTAGAAACTTTGTGTGTTAAGACGTGTTGGTTAAAGTTATACTTAATGTTTGTCCCATAACCACAAATAGCACATTTCAAATCCTTCGAAACTTTATGGGTTAAAAGATGTTGTTTGAAGCTGCTTTTAATATTTGTCCCATAATCACAATCAGCGCATTTAAAATCCTTGGAAACTTTATGTTTTAAAACATGTTGTTGTAAGTTCCATTTACGATTTGTCTCATAATTACAATTAGCACATTTAAAATCCTTAGAAACCTTATGTATTAAAAGGTGTCGATTAAAGCAGTATTTCTTGTTTGTTTCATAATCACAAATAGCACATTTAATTTCCTTAGAAACTTTATGTGTTAAAAGATGTCGATTGAAGTTGTTTTTAACATTTGTCCCATAATCACAATCGGCGCATTTAAAATCCTTAGAAATTTTGTGTGTTAAAAGATGTCTTTTGAAGACATGTTTATTATTTGTTCCGTAATCACAATCCGCACACTTAAAATCCTTAGAAACTTTATGGGTTAAAAGATGTTGTTTAAAGTTGCCTTTATCATTTGTTCCATAATCACAATCAACACATTTAAAATCCTTAGTAACTCTATGTTTTAAAATGTGGCGTTTGAAGTAGTTTTTATCATTTGTCTCATAATCACAATCAACACATTTAAACTCAAATCGAGTTAAAAAGTGACTTTGAAAGACAGAGGGTTGCTGTACTACTACATTATAAAAAGATTTGTGTGGTGTACTAATGGTAACCTCGTCCTTTATTGTCACCAAAACTTCGTTGCTTACTGAAATATGTTCCTGAAGAAAGGAATCGATTTCTACTTCTTGTTTTGGTTCGATTTTAATGGGTGGTATGTCATTATTTCCATCCATACCTAAACAATTAATTGTTATAAATAAATGTGTTCAAAATCAATTTTGATGTTAAGCAATACAGTTAGATCCCAGAGCAACCAAACATATTACTTACTTTCTGAGTAATCAAAACTTGTTGAAATGCACAGGGTACAATTGCTATGGTCGATGCCCAATTTACAGGTAGGTACCAGATGCTACAGGTATTAAACTATTTTTTTTTAAAGTAAGTAATCTCTTGTAATCCTCGGATCTTGGACTATACCTGTGTTAAGTTCAGTGAAATATAGGTTTATTTTGAACTGCTTAAAATCATATGTAAAGAAGAGTTCTTTAAATTGCACGTGTGGTGTGAAATTAGCTACTCTCAACTCAAAATGTCAAATGCAGAGTTGCCAAATCATATACAATTGATTTAACAAATCAACCCTTTTCGGATTTTATGCTGCTCCAGCGAAACATGGCCTCAAAAATCTGCGAGTTTAAATGTAAATTACAATTTACAAATATATTTATTCATTACAATAGCCTGTGATGAAAACAATTTAATGCATTTTTTACAATAACCTAACCTACATTTTAATTAATAACAATTGCAATTTTGACATTTCTTTCGCATGCGCATTGTAAGGAGATTTAGGCGTTTTACCTTAACGTACATCTATTAATCACAATTAGCATATTTTACAATTTCAGACTCTTTTATGTGTTGAAACATGTTGACTGAAGACATGTTTAATATTTGTGCTGTAATCACAATCAGCACATTTAAAATGCTTAGACCCTTTATGTTTTAAAAGGAGGTGTTGATTAAACAAATATTTCTTGTTTGTTCCATAATCACAATCAGCACATTTAAATTCCTTAGAAACTTTATGTATGGGTTAAAAGATGTTGTTTAAAGTTGCTTTTATCATTTGTTCCATAATCACAATCAATGCATTTAAAATCCTTAGTAACTCTATGTTTTAAAATGTGGCGTTTGAAGTATTTTTTATCATTTGTCTCGTAAATACAATCAGCACATTTCAAATCCTTCGAAACTTTATGGGTTAAAAGATGTTGTTTGAAGCTGTTTTTAATATTTGTCCCATAATCACAATCAGCGCATTTAAAATCCTTGGAAACTTTATGTTTTAAAACATGTCGTTGTAAGTTGCTTTTTACGATTTGTCTCATAATTACAATTAGCACATTTAAAATCCTTAGAAACCTTATGTATTAAAAGGTGTCGATTTAAGCAGTATTTCTTGTTTGTTTCATAATCACAATAAACACATTTAAAATCCTTAGAAACTTTATGTGTTAAAAGATGTTGATTGAAGTTGCTTTTAACATTTGTCCCATAATCACAATCGGCGCATTTAAAATCCTTAGAAATTTTGTGTGTTAAAAGATGTCTTTTGAAGACATGTTTATTATTTGTTCCGTAATCACAATCAGCACATTTAAAAATCTTCGAAATTTTATGTATTAAAATATGTTGTTTGAGGTCTTGTTTCCTATTTGTCCCGTAATCACAATCCGCACACTTAAAATCCTTAGAAACTTTATGCGTTAAAAGGTGTTGATTAAAGCAAAATTTCTTGTTTGTTTCATAATTACAAATAGCACATTTAAATTCCTTAGAAACTTTATGGGTTAAAAGATGTTGTTTGAAGTTGCCTTTATCATTTGTTCCATAATCACAATCAACACATTTAAAATCCTTAGTAACTCTATGTTTTAGAATGTGGCGTTTGAAGTATTTTTTATCATTTGTCTCATAATCACAATCAGCACATTTAAAATCCTTAGTAACCCCATGGTTTAAAATGTGGCGTTTGAAGTAGTTTTTATCATTTGTCTCATAATCACAATCAACACATTTAAACTCAAATTGAGTTAAAAGGTGACTTTGAAAGACAGAGGGTTGCTGTACTACTACATTATAAAAAGATTTGGGTGGTGTACTAATGGTAACCTCGTCCTTTATTGTCACCAAAACTTCGTTGCTTACTGAAATATGTTCCTGAAGAAAGGAATCGATTTCTACTTCTTGTTTTGGTTCGATTTTAATGGGTGGTATGTCATTATTTCCATCCATACCTAAACAATTAATTGTTATAAATAAATGTGTTCAAAATCAATTTTGATGTTAAGCAATACAGTTAGATCCCAGAGCAACCAAACATATTACTTACTTTCTGAGTAATCAAAACTTGTTGAAATGCACAGGGTACAATTGCTATGGTCGATGCCCAATTTACAGGTAGGTACCAGATGCTACAGGTATTAAACTATTTTTTTTTAAGTAAGTAATCTCTGGTAATCCTCGGATCTTGGACTATACCTGTGTTAAGTTCAGTGAAATATAGGTTTATTTTGAACTGCTTAAAATCATATGTAAAGAAGAGTTCTTTGCACGTGTGGTGTGAATTTAGCTACTCTCAACTCAAAATGTCAAATGCAGAGTTGCCAAATCATATACAATTGATTTAACAAATCAACCCTTTTCGGATTTTATACTGCTCCAGCGAAACATGGCCTCAAAAATCTACGAGTTTAAAATTTAAACAATTTACAAATATATTTATTCATTACAATAGCCTGTGATGAAAACAATTTATTGCATTTTTTACAATAACCTAACCTACATTTTAATTAATAACAATTGCAACTTTGACATTTCTTTCGCATGCGCATTGTAAGGAGGTTTAGGCGTTTTACCTTAACGTACATCTATTAATCACAATTAGCATATTTTACAATTTCAGACTCTTTTATGTGTTGAAACATGTTGACTGAAGACATGTTTAATATTTGTGCTGTAATCACAATCAGCACATTTAAAATGCTTAGACCCTTTATGTTTTAAAAGGAGGTGTTGATTAAACAAATATTTCTTGTTTGTTCCATAATCACAATCAGCACATTTAAAATCCTTAGAAGCCTCATTAGAAACTGTATGTTTTAAAAGATGTCGTTTCAAGTTGCTTTGACGATTTGTCCCATAATCACAATTAGCACATTTAAAATCCTTAGAAACTTTATGTGTTAACAGGTGTTGGTTAAAGCAATATTTCTTGTTTGTTTCATAATCACAATTAACACATTTAAAATCCTTAGCAACTTTATGGGTTAAAACATGTTGTTTGATGTTGCATTTAACATTTGTCCCATAATCACAATCAGCGCATTTAAAATCCTTAGAAACTTTATGTTTTAAAAGATGTCGTTTGAAGATGTATTTATTATTTGACCCGTACTCACAATTGGTACAGTTAAAATTCTTAGAAACCTCGTTTGAAACATTATGTGTTAAAAGATGTCGTTTGAAGACTTGTTTACTATTTGTCCCGTAATCACAATTGGCACATTGAAAATCCTTAGACACTTTATGTAATAAAAGATGTTCTTTGAAGTTGCGTTTATCATGTGTCTCATGATCACAATCGGCACACTTAAAATCCTTAGAAACTCTATGTTTTAAAATGTGGCGTTTGAAATATTGTTTATCATTTGTCTCATAATGGCAATTAGCACATTTAAAATCCTTAGAAACTCTATGTTTTAGAAGGTGGCGTTTGAAGTAATCTTTATCATTTGTTTCATAATTACAAGTAGCACATTTAAATTCCTTAGAAACTTTATGTATCAAAAGATGTCGTCTGAAGTTGCACTTAAAATTTGTCCCATAATTACAATCACCACATTTAAACTGAAATTGAAATTCAGAGGGTTGCTGAACTTTTTCATTATAAAGCGATTTGGGCTGTGCTGTACCAATGGTAACTTCATGCTTTATTGTCACCAAAACTTCGTTACTGACTGAAATTTGCTCCTGAAGAAAGGAATCGATTTCTACTTCTTGTTTTGGTTCGATTTTAATGGGTGGTATGTCATTATTTCCATCCATACCTAAACAATTAGTGTTATAAATATAAATGTGTTAAAAAAACTATTTTGGGGGGCGAGATCCCCATATATATGGAGATCCCTAACCCCGAGGAACCAGACATTACTTACCTACATTCTGAGTAACCAAAAATTGTTATTAAAGAGTAGTGTTAATGCACAGGGAACCTATTCATACTTGCTAGCTAGAGCGATAGTCAATTTACAGGTACCAGATACTATAGGTCGAGCTAAAGGTATTAAAATATTTAATTAAAAAGAAGTAACCTCTGGTACTGCTTGGATCTTGGTCTATACCTGTGTTAACTTCAGTGAAATATACGTTTATTTTGAGCTTTGCTAATTGCAAAAGCAAAAAAGAGGTTATTTAATAGCGTTTTTCTCAAGGCGTTTTCGATTGGCAAAACTCGTGCTGCACGAGTGCAATTTTTACGTTCTATTGGTAATTTTAGGGCAATTTTCTGTGTTCCATTGGCAAATGTGATGCAACAATTACGCACTCAGTGCAAATTTCGACGCACGAGGTCCGAGGGCTCGTAGGAGCTGCTAGTTAACAAATTTTCAAAACAAACGTGCGACAATTTGAATTTGTTTCTTGCGTTGGGAGAGTTTTTTGTCGTCATCTAGCGATAGCGAAGATGATGAACTAGCCATAACTTCTATTTTACAAAAAGTTGCACTTACACATTAAACTGAACGCCAAAAATTGGTTCTTTACAGGAATTTCAAATTTATATTCCTCATCGTTTATCATAAATAATACTGAAATCGTTTGTCATTTTTTTGAATAGAGATTTGTCGATTACCTAAATCTAAAATGAGGTTATGGACAAATGACAACAAATCTTTACGAATATTTATGTTCCATTGAGAGCAATTTTCATATGGATTTCTTCAGTTTCTCGTGCAACACTCGTGCAGTAGGTACGAGTTTTGCCAATCGAAAACGCTATTATAGGCACGTGAAAATAGCTACTCTCAAATCAAAATCTCAAATGCAGCGTTGCCAAACCATTTAAGTCATTAATTAATAGAATTAAATCAAAGTTGACGATTCTGATTTAAATCTTACAACAAAAGGTTGTAGTAAACCTAATTAACCCATAGACATATGAGAATTAAGACTTAACTCTCAGGTTCTACCCCTATTTCACACTACAAGAACATGGAAATAAAGTCAACCCGGCAACGTTTAAAAAAAATCAAAAAATCACACGTGATCAAACATCAAAAGCAACTGCCAAGGATAATAAGAGTTGAAACATAGCCCAAAAGTTAATAAAGTAGTTAAGACTTTTTTGTTAAGAACAAGATGGAAAATTACATGGCATTGTAGGCAAATTATTAACTAATTTATCGCACAGATTCTAAACCGAAGAGTTTTGATTAGCATAATCTCACCCCTGAGATATGTAACTCGCCCCTCGTTCGGGGTTTCGAGCCTACAGTTCAATGTCAAACACAATCACGGAATTAGGTAACTCATTTGATTACAGTTTTCGCTGCCTCCGTGACTGCTTCATTCACTGAGAACATGTTAGTTACTAACATCAAGTCAGTACACACACACAAACAACTCGGAAATTTCCGCATATTAACATAATGATCAAAATTAGTATGAATATTACTTCCGGTCAAGACCATGTAATCAAAACATAAACATAAATTAAGCAAACGTTATACTAAAAACGTAAACTGTGTAGATTATTTAAACTAGCGTGATTTGTTTAACGTAAAGGAGGATGTTAGAACTAATCTACTGGAGCGTATCAGATTTTAAAAACGTTCGTGGAGGTGCAAAGCGGTCAAATTATGTCGTTGGTATGGGGTAACTCTTAAACTATAAGTATAATGCCCGTTTGCACCCACAAATTTAAGCGGAGCTTAGCTTAAGCGTCCCTCCATGGCAACGATTATTGAGACAATGGTTGCCATGGATTTTAAGGGACGCATAAGCTAAGCTCCGCTTAAATTTGTCGGTGCAAACGAGCATAAGTGTTTTTGGGATATGGGCAAAAGTTGTATTTTCAATTTAAGTTATCGGAAATATGTTTATTACTAAAGTTTTTTTTTGTAATAATTGTTGCAAAATTTACCGTTTTCAGAATAACTATACGGGGTCAAGTAAAAAAGTTATCGAACGTTCAATTTGCATAGATATAAGTGCAAAACTACTATTGAACAAACAGCCGATATTCTGCAAATAGTCTCCAATAATATACCTAAACAGCTGTGTAAACCTCTCTTTAATTATGTCTATTACAATTATATATATATATCGCCGGAAAATTTGTAGTTCAAATTAACATCGTAAACCTCAATTATGAATACGAATGTCTGCAAAAGTTATATCAGCACGTCTAACGAGAGTATTAGAAATGTATGACTGCTATTACAGTTAAAATTTAATTATCGATAGCACGTTCCCTACTTAAAATTCAGTTCAAGTTGCTAGCGCATGTGGTGCTGTTACAATTTTACGTCTTGTCAAATGATATTTGGTGCATTATATGGGCCATTATTTATTACAGCGCGTTTTATTGATGACAACGTAACTGTTACTATGCTGCAGTTTAACTTGGTAATTAAAGACACGACATAGGAAATACTTCAATTTACTGTCGTTCTCCTCGCAATTTGGCCGATTTTTCGCATACTAGTCGATTCCATCCTTATACTATATTTAAGTATAACTCTCGAAGAAAAAGGAATCATATCGTAGAATATATTTCATAAAGCACAATATCAACATTTTATTTAGCGTAGCTCGTTAATCAGGGTATGTCTAATAGTTGTATACTGTTTCTTTAGGAACCATAAACATAAAAAAATTATACAACAGATCTTAGTAAAACTATAAAACGGCGAATTAGAGAACTGCCTATGTAAATATCTGTACGTATTATGTGGTAAATAAATAATATGTTGGCCCAAAACTTAATTTGGGTAAACTTACGACAAGACAATTTGAGAACGTGGTGCTCAAATAAAGCGTTAATTTTAAATATCCCACTAAGATCAAAACCGATACGTTACCTGAATTATACCTTAAAATCAATAAAAGTGATATCGAAATGCAAATAATGCAAGAAACTTAAATGCTGCCATCAAACACAGTTTTTCACAAATGGAACCATTAATAGTCGACTGACCAGGCGGAAATCGCCACCTGCTCTTCCAGGTCAATCCGTCGCTGTCTGTCAGCTCTTCGACCGAGATGTAAAAATAAACAAATATTTGCAATTTAATTAAAAGAAATACGCCTTTACAGTTCAACCAAATCCAAACAATGACACAAGTTATTCCAGTTACGGTATCTGCCACCTGATGACTGCTATGCATGACTTTTATTGTAATATAAATAGGTAGGTACATCGGTACACGTACTTATCATGCATTTTGTCAAATATATTTGAAATAGACAGTATTAAAATATCTCGTAAAATGATGTTAATTAACATTCTGCTGAGTCAGGACTCTTTCGCCGCTTTGCCGCAAAATCATACTTTCAAATACTTACAAACTTTATTTTACAAGATGTTGTTTGAAGTAGCGTTTATAATTTGCCTGATAATCACATTCAGAACATTCTAATTCTTAGAAACTCTATGTTTCAAAAGATGTTTTTTGAGGTTATGTTTATCTTTATGATTCGTTCGATAATCACCATCAGCACATTTAAAATCCTTAGAAACTGTATGTGTAAAAAGATGTCGTTTGAAGGCGGGTTTAATATTTGTCCCATAATCACATTCAAAACATTTAAAATCTTTAGAAACTTTATGTTTTAAAAGATGTCGGTTGAAGTTGCTTTTATAATTTGTCTCATAATCACAATCGGCACATTTAAGATCCTTAGAAACTTTATGTTTTAAGAGATGTTGTTTGAAGTTGATATTTAGATTTGTTTCATAATCACAATCACCACATTTAAACTCCTTAGAAACGTTATGTTTCAAAAGATGTAGTTTGAAGAGGTGTTTATTATTTGTCCCATAATAACAAGTAGCACATTTAAAATCCTTAGAAAATTTATGTTTTAAAATATGACGTTTGAAATTGAGTTTACCATTCGTCCTATAATCACAATCAACACATTTAAAATCCTTAGAAACTTTATGTGTTAAAAGATGTCCTTTGAAGACGCATTTATTGTTTGTCCCGTAATCACAATAGGCGCATTTAAAATCGTTAGAAAGTTTATGTTTTAAAAGATGATTTTTCAAGTTGATTTTAACGTTTGTTTCATAATTACAATCAGCACATTTAAAATCCTTAGAAACGTTGTGTTTTAAAACATGTTGTTTGAAGTTTATTTTAAGGTTTGTTTCATAATCACAATTAGCACATTTAAACTCCTTAAAATCTTTATGTTTTAAAAGATGTCGTTTGAAGAGTTGTTTATTATTTGTCTCATAATCACAATCAGAACATTTAAAATCCTTCGAAACTGTATGGTGCAAAAGATGTCGTTTGTAGAGTTGTTTATTATTTGTTTCATAATTACAAACAACACATTTAAAATCTTTCGAAACTTTATGGTTCAAAAGATGTTTTTTGAGGTTATGTTTAGCATTTGTCCCATAATCGCAAGTAGTGCATTTAAAATCTTGGGAAACTTTATGTGTCAACAAGTGTTGATTAAAGTTATTTTTATTGTTTGTCTTATAATCACAAGTAGCACATTTAAAATCCTTAGAAACTTTATGTTTTAAAAGATGTAGTTTCAAGTTAAGTTTAACGTTTGTTTCATAATCACAATCAGCACATTTAAAATCCTTCGAAATATTATGTGTCAAAAGATGTCGTTTGAAGTGGTATTTATTATATGTCCCATAATCACAAGTAGCACATTTCAAATCCTTAGAAACTTTATGTTTTAACATATGTCGTTTAAAATTGAGTTTAACATTTGTCGCATAATCACATTCAGCACATTTAAAATCCTTTGAAACTTTATGCGTTAAAAGATGTTGTTTTAGGACGTATTTAGTATTTGTTCCGTAATCACAATAAGCACATTTAAAATCCTTAGAAACTTTATGTTTTAAAATATGTCGTTTGAAATAGAGTTTGAGATTTGTCGCATAATCACAATTAGCACACTTAAAATCCTTCATAACTGTATGTGTTAAAAGATGTCGTTTCAAGTTGCTTCTGTCATTTGTGACATAATCACAATCATCACATTTAAAATCTTTAGACACTTTTTTACATGGAGTTAAAAGGTGATGTTTAAAGTCACAGTGTTGCGGTACTTCATTATAAAGTGATTTACAACATGGTGCACTGGTAATTTCGCCCTTTATTGTTACCAAAACATCGTTGCTAACTGAAATGTGTTCTTGAAGAAGAGAATGAATTTCTTCTTCTTGTTTTGGTTCGATTTTAATGGGTGGAGTGTTATTATCTCCATCCATACCTAACAACAATAATGTTACCTATAAATAAATGTGTTAAGAATCTATTTTGGTATTAAACAATGCACTTACTTTCTGAGTAATAATAGAATATTCTAATCTAAGATTCTAACACTGTCTATTCATATAAACAAAACAATGCTCCCTCTCACAGACACTGCATCAAGGTAGCCAAATAACATGTGTTTTTTGATATAAGCACTAGAGCGCGACATTGGCGCACAGCGCACGCGTTGATACGGTGTCTCTATATATGCCAACGGTACTGGTCGGCTATGCATCAATTTTATTATATATAATATTGATATATTTTAATGCATTTTGTGAAATACCTTATAAGGGGACAATTTTGAATTAATCTATGGGGTAAAATGGTAAATATTCAAATTGTGAGTCAGGACCCTTTCAGCGTACTATTTGTCCCAAATTCTAATTTAAAATCCTTAGAATCTGTATGTTTTAAAATATGTTGTTTGAAGTAGCGTTTATGATTTGTCCCATAATCACAAGTAGCACATTTAAAAACCTTAGAAGCTCCATGTTTTAAAAGATGTCGTTTGAAGTCGAGTTTAACGTTTGTTTCATAACCACAATTACCACATTTTAAATCCTTAGAAACTTTATGTTTTAAAAGGTGTCGTTTAAGATCGGATTTATAATTTGTCTCATAATCACAATTAGTACATTTAAAATCTTTAGAAACCTTATGTTTTAAAAGGTGTATTTTAAGGGCGGATTTAAAATTTGTCCCATAATCACAATCAGCACATTTAAAATACTTAGAAACTTTGTGTGTTAAGACGTGTTGGTTAAAGTTATACTTAATGTTTGTCCCATAACCACAAATAGCACATTTAAAATCCTTAGAAACTTTATGTTTTAAAAGATGTTGTTTGAAGTAGCGGTTATCATTTGTTTCATAATCACAATCAACACATTTAAAATCCTTAGACATTTTATGTTTTAAAAGATGTTGCTTGAAGTAGCGTTTGTCATTTGTTCCATAATCACAATCAGCACATTTAAAATCCTTAAAAACTTTATGTGTTAAAAGATGTTGGTTAAGGTTATATTTATTGTGTGTCTCATAATTACAATTAGCGCACTTAAAATCCTTAGAAACCTTATGTTTTAAAAGATGTCGTTTGAAGTTGAGTTTAACATTTGTTTTATATTCACAATTACTACATTTCAAATCCTTAGAAACTTGATGTTTTAAGAGATGTTGCTTGAAGTAGTGTTTACTATTTGACCCATAATCACAAGCATCACATTTAAAGTCCTTAGAAACCCTATGTTTTAAAAGGTGGTGGTTAAAGTTATATTTATTGTTGGTCTCATAATCACAATTAGCACATTTAAAATCGTTAGAAACTTTATGTTTTAAAATGTGTTGTTTGAAGAGTTGTTTATTATTTGTCTCATAATCACAATTAGCACATTTAAAATCTTTTGAAAGTTTATGTTTTAAAACATGTCGTTTTAAGAAGTGTTTAACATTTGTCGCATAATCACAATCAACACATTTAAAATCTTTACCAACTTTATGTTTTAAAAGATGTCGTTTGAAGTTTAGTTTAACATTTGTTTCATAATCACAATTACCACATTTCAATTCCTTAGCAACTTTATGTGTTAACAGGTGTTGATTAAGGTTATATTTGTTGTGTGTCTCATAACCACAATCAGCACATTTAAAATGCATTGAAACTTCGTGTTGCAAAAGATGTCGTTTGAAGTGGTGTTTATGATTTGTTCCATAATCACAAGTAGCACATTTAAAATCCTTTGAAACTTTATGTTTTAAAAGATGTCTTTTGAAGTTGCCTTTATAATTTGTCTCATAATCACAATCAGCACATTTAAAATTTTTAGACTCTTTTTTACACTTACTTAAAAGGTGACGTTGAAAGTCAGGGTGTTGCTGTAGTTCATTATAAAGAGATTTAGACTCGGATTTAGAACAAGATGAACTAGCAGTAACTTCGTCCTTTATTGTCACCAAAACTTCATTGCTTACTGAAATATGTTCCTGAAGAAAGGAGTGGATTTCTTCTTCTTGTTTTGGTTCGATTTTAATGAGTGGTGTGTCATTATCTCCATCCATACCTAACAACAATACTGATACTTATCTATTTTGGTATTAAACAATACAGAGTAAGATCCCAGGACAAGCAGACATTACTTACTTTCTGAGTAACAGAATTTGTTGAATAAGAGTTACACGATTGATTAAAATACTTTTGTTTGTTTATATAAACAATGCTAAAATCCTTCTATTGGCAGCGCATCAACGTTTAGGTAACAACGGTGTTTTTTGATAGAAGCACTAGAGTGCGCCATGGGTCTATAATTTGTGTAGAATGCTTGGCGTACGTTTACGTTGGGTATTCATATTCAAATTTATCTCTTATGTCTTTGATTAACATAATAAGCTACATTGAATGTAATCAGCTGTAATGTATCCTTTGTTTATTTAATGAATAAAAAAATCTGTATGGGAAAGGGAAGAGCGAGGAGTGAGTGATAATAATGATTTAAAGTCATAGTCTAAGGGAAAAATTAACACAATCGCGAATAAAAGGTTTTTCTGCTGTATGTGTCGGTGTTCTTTTTAGCACATTTCCACAAAAATTAAAAAAAATGGGCTATTGTGGCCACTTCGTCCGTCCGTCCGACCGTCCGTTCGTTCGTTGAGACGCTACTAGTTCTTTATCTTAGGACCTATTTTTCTACTTTTTTCGCTATTTGGTTCATTATGGTGTCGAGGCTTGCACCAAGGAAGGAATTTTTTCTGCGTTTATTACTAAAAAAGTTGTAAAAAACCAAAAACCGTTTTTACATGTTCCATAATTTTACACTTTTGCCGTTTATTAAAGATTCTAGAGATCGTTTATACTTTTGTATTATTTGTTTAGAATACTTGGAATAAATGAAATGTCAAACGCCAGTTTCAAAATTTGGTTGTGCGCATGCGCAGTGCCACCTTTTTTATTTATGGAAGCATTTAAATGAAATTCCTCTTATAAACTGAAATTGAAGTAGCTCGTCAAAAATGGATTGCGCCTATGCAACGCTATCCTTCATATTTGTGGCCGGATTTTTACGATTTTAACAGGTTACATCTTACAAATCTGAAATGAATGCAAGTGGAAATGCGCTTTTTGTTTATTATTTGTAGGTAGGTATTGTTTTGCGAGAGTATACAATTCTTTGAATTCTATTCCTAAATCCTAATTATTCGTCTCACTCTTCCATAGTCTAAACAGCTTACTTACTTAAACCACTGTATATACAATGCTTAAACTGTCCCTTGGTGCCAGAGACATGGAGAGGGGAGATAACGCATGAAACTGCGCGAAGTTACAAAACAAGGGGGCTGCCATTTTGACACCCATTGAAGCGCGAAATTTGAACAGGACTATAAAGGTTTACTGACGCAACCCAGAGACATCTAACGCAATCTTCATACACTACACTCTATTCGGCAGCAGCTCCGTAGGAAGAAAATAATATCTCAATCCAAATGAACAAAAGAAAATGCCAGTGACGTTGACGTTACAAAATAAACACTTAAACCTCGAAAAAAGCTCTCCTAAACACGAACACACGCTAAAATAACACCACTATAAACACAACATGACACAAAGGGTGTAAAAATGGCAGCGCCCATGAGGTCGCACCCTTTCTTGGATGCGCACTCGTCGATCACCGATCTCCCCTCTCCATGTCTCTGCTTGGTGCTCACATGTGAACAGTTCCCCTCCATCCATCAGAGACTTGTTAGCATATATTCGGTTATACAGTGTGTTACATATAAATATGTAAAAAACAATTGAGTGTCAGAGGGGATCAAAGCAGGGACCCGGGCCCAAATGAATAATCGGTTGCGATTCTGTTTATATTTAAGCGAAAATATTTATAACGGTTCCGGTCCGGTTTCGGTTCTAAAAAGAAATAACGGTTCGGTTCTGTGCATTTTTTTTTGGTCCATAACGGTTATTTTCGGTTCTAGTTTTTCAGAAAGTATGGCATTCAAAAAATTCATTATAACAACGTAATTTGTTAATTAATAGGTGTGAAGAAAAAGTCATGAATACCAAAACATGACGTATCGTGAGTGTAGCTAATTTATAACGATAAGGGAAATAAAGGAGAAAGGGAAATATGTATTTACACTTAATTTATTACTAAAAAACAGAAAATATTTTTTTCTCCAACCACCTGAATAAGACGCTATTTTGTGACAGTGTTCGGTACCTAAAATTGACGTTTTGCGGATTAATCGCTTTCACCATGGCAACTGTACAAAAAGTGGATACTTTTTGTCCTAGTACCAAAAAGAAATTGACCTTGAAAGTTGGCCAATTAAAAAATTACAATCACGGAGATATGTCACATTGACATCGTTTTACATTGCAGGTTGTAAGATATTTCTATATACATACAAATCAAATATTTTTGCATATTCAATGCAAATAATGATGTTACCTATACGTATGTACATGTATTGAAAATGATTTACGCTCGCTATTTTTATTTAAACCATGTGTAACGTAATTTACATATTCCGTGAACGTAATTTTAATACGTATACAACCCGTCGTCGCGCGTAACGCCATCTACTTCAGACCCATTGCACTATATCTGTGATTTTTAATTCAAAATTTGAAAAAGTTAATTGCAATTAATTTTAATTAAAAAACTGTATGGTAAGTTTTTTATTTCAATACAAAATATAACAATATTAATTGTTTATACAATAAAATGACTGAAACTGACAGCGACATGGATTGCACTCCGCCAGAGATTATAGAAGCGGCAGAACATGCTACCTCAAGATTTGCTCGCCCACAAAGTCGCGAGAGGTGAGAAATAAGAAGTAAGAACGAATAGGTTATAAGTTGACCTAAAAACTAGAGTGGCATGACACGTGAGGACAAGAAAGCAAAAGTTCTTATAGGTACTATAGTAGTGAAACTGTGACTGAATCTAAATTCGAATATAATTTGAAGTAAAGGAGGTTGGAGAAAAAATTTTATGTTTTATTCGTACAAAAAATGCGTTTTCGGGACTCGGAAGGTTGCTGGACTCCGCTAACGCGTCGTCCAGCAACTATCTTCCTCGTCCCGAAAACTGACATTTTTTGTACTAATGAAACAAATAACTATTTTCTAAAACCTCGCCTCTCCTTTTTTATTTTTTTAAGTAGTGGCTACATTAGCGCCACCGCCACCTGTAATGCCTTCAATTTCGACACCTTATTAAAAATGTTTAATCGACCGATGGCAATCATAGAGTAATATTTTATCACGTGGTTGCCGGCGCGTCCTTCAACTTCCAATAACCTGTTAAGAACCGTAAAAAACCGAAAAAAGTACTATGGGTTCCGGTTCTCAATACGTTTCCATTTCTGAAGGAATAACGGTTTCGGTTCGGTTTTCGGTTCTTTTTCGGTCCGGTCCGGGTCCCTGGATCAAAGCAAGCATTTTTTTCCAAATAAACCGAGGGTCCAAGGTGTTTCGTGTGGGAGCCACTACCAAGAAAGTGGTGAAATTTGCATTTCTCCTTCCTACCCCCTAAATTGGAGTCCGAAAAAAATTCGACAAAATTTTGTATCTGGGGGTTTTTGAACATGAAAATCACGAATCTGAAATTAGTTTTTGAAAATTCGAAAAAAATTTCACTGCAATTCTGGGCCGGGCAACGAAAATGGAGAGAACTCTACGAAATTTGTTGGGCTCATACTTGATGAGTTAAGGAACAAAATTGTCGAACAGTTTTTTAAAATCACTTTTATGTATCTACTCATTTGAAGATTGGTTCTTCAGATCACAAAGTAGGTATACCCGCTTACTAGTGAGTGATTTAATTTCGTATGTAGGTATAGTTCATTGAAAATGTCAAATAATAAAAAATAACACTCACAAGAAAGCAGATAAGGGAATTACTAGAAGGAAAGATGATCACCGGGAGACTGAAGATGTGGGAGCTGAGATATTGGGGAAATATAATGTAGATATTCCAGTGGCGAAGCTGAGGCCGTACCCTTTCGGGTTGGATAACACCTGTACTACCAGGGATACATCCCCACGAGCCACGACAGTTGACTAAATTCTGGGAGCGGCGGCTACGCCAGGCATATGTATCAAGTATCTTTTAACCAGGGGTAGAAACCCATATGAAATATAGGTTCCGGTTCCGCACTATTTAGATAGAATTATTTTTTAAGGGTTTCGTTTCCGGTTCCGGTTCTGTGGCTTCTTAATTTTTGGTTCCGGTTCCAGTTTTTTTTTCGGGTTTTAAGGTTCCAACATAAATAAATAAAATTATTATTCACAAATATAAATTATTAATTACAGAAAATAAATAATACAGAACATTAAAGTACATTATTATTTTGCATACATATTTTTTGTTTTGTTAATTGAAACTTATTTTTAGTTCGTTTCGCCTCTGTCAACTGTCTGTCTTTTTTACTCTCCTTTTCTTCAGCAGTATAGTTTCAATTATTGCTTTCTTCATACTCTTCTCAACACTCTTACTGTTTTTGATTCGTTTTCGGTGTTATAGGCATATTTTATATTTGTTTGGTATTAAGCTTAAGTTGTAAGAAATTAGTGGACAGCTCTGAATAAAAGAGAGAATTTGGATTTTTGGCTTTTGAAATTTTTTACAAATTCTACAAATCTGAACGTGATTCAGTAGGGAGGATCATCAGGTTAATAAAGGAGCAGTCACCGGCGGTAGGAGATGAAAGCGAATATGACGTTTTCCAGAAAATCTGATATGCTGATTCATTGAATTGCTGACTCTAGGGCCATATATTTTGTGATAAAAAGTGTTTTAATGAAATGCGTCACCGCCAGGTGGGGCTACCTAACTTAATTCTTTTAATTAAAAAAAATTAAATGGAATAGGTAGGTACGCTACTTTTTATTCGATTTTTGGAATTTAGTAAGTACAATAATTTGTGATAACTTTACGTATATGTGCTCTCAACCTGACTCGTTCATGTAAACGAGTTATATGGCCCTAGCTTACATTTCAAACTTTATATTCGTTCCCGAGATATAGCGCTGTCCCTTCCTCGCTGAACCCTCTGTATATAAGCAAAATGAATAACTAAGAAAACACAGAAGCAAATTTTAAGAGCAAATAAAACGCATTTCCCTCTCACAAAGCGCAACGTAGCTACTCTACCTACAAGAGAGAACCGAAAAATACCGGTTCTTTGGCCCTAATATTAACGGTACCGGTATCGGTTCCGGTTATCATAACTTCCTAAATCAAGATTGCGGTTCCCAGTGAGGGGCTTTTTAATGCAATCGGTTCCGGTTCCTGTTCCGTT